TGTAGGAAAGCACTATAATAATACTTGTTTTGCAAATTCTATACTAAATTGTAGTCAGCGAACATAACTGCAGTTTCTTCAGATTTGTGTTATTCTGCAGTGAATGTGAACTTTTCCCTTTTATCATAGGAGAGTATATGAAACTAATTTGATCCAATAATACAACAAAAATCAAAACGCATCATTGCACTGACATGAGAAAAGGATAACAGGATTTAGGGGAATCTTCGTATATTTAATTTTATATGTTTTGTTCATCATTAGCAATCCAGATAATAAGTTTTTGTTTTGAACAAAAAGTGTTGAATAAATGCTTTTTTATGATCTGTTTTCTTGGTTGAATCCGTATGGGGATAGTTCAGGCAATCAACAATAACTGGCCCGCAGACCATTTTAATGCACCCCTTGAGAAAATAAAAAATAAACAAAGAGCTTTTTATTTGTAACTGTCAATGGAAATAACTATACTGACAAATGAGTACGCAGTGCCGTTTAGCCTAATATTCCACTGATGTGCACCAACAGATCCTTTCCCTTATGAATTACACCTGGGTCTTTAGTGACCAGTAAACAACACCAGTCATTAAACCCCAGACTCTGATGATTTTGCAAAGATATTGCATTAAAACATTGATTCTTAATGTATTTATTAATGCGCTAGCTTAAACAGGCTTAATATTATCCCAGACCTTTCTTCACAGTGCTGTGAAAAAGTATTTATGCCTTCCTGAGTTTCTACTTTTTGTATACACATGAAACAGATTTTAATATTAGACAAAGATGACCTGAGTATCTGCAAAATTAGGTTTCTGAATGATGATTTCAGTTTTACTAACCACACTCAGCTCTGATTACTGCCAGACCTGTCGATTGAAGAAATCACTTAAATAAAAGATCTCAAAAAGCAACACATGGTGCAGAGATTTAAAGAAACAATGCAGATGGAAATGGTTACAAAGTCATTTCTAAAGCTTTAAGACCAACAAACCACAGGGAGGGCATCTATGGAGAAAACCTGGAGCAGGAGTGGCCAAAGTTACTACCAAAGTGCATTCATGTTGATTCAGGAGGTCAAGAAAAAGCCCAAAACATCATCGAAAGAACTTCACGTCTCACTTCAGTGAAGTCAGTGAAAGATAAGAAAGACACTGGGCAAAAATGGCATTCATGGTTTATAACCGTGGCCAGAAAGAACACAGAGGCACAAATAAAACATCTTAATGATTTTTAAGTCGTCCCAGTACATCTTGGAGCAAATAGGATAGAATAGAATAGAATTCAACTTTATTGTCATTGCACATGCACAGGTACAGGGCAACGAAATGCAGTTTGCATCCATCCAGAAGTGCTTTAGTGATATGGATATATTACAATATATATTAGCAATAATATAGATATGTGAGTATATCACAGAAATGGGTCTATTATGGTATGTTATAATGTACACGGTATGAAGTATGTTATGAATATTCTATAACTATAAGTATGTACAGGCTGTAGTGAGTACAAGCTATGTACAGGATATAAATATGAAATAAAAAGACTATACAGAAATCTGAGATATACAGTTATACAGAAATGTGAACTATGCAAGTTCTAAACAGTTGTAGGATTAAAAATTATCGTATGTACAGAATGATTATTTACACAGAATTATACAGTAGTGCAGTTAAGATCAGTGAGATATGTGGATAATTTCTACAGAGGCTATAAAGTGCCAGTGGTTGTGATGTGATGGTTCAGTCCATGTTATTATTGTGTGTTTGAGGGTACAGTTGTCCATTGTGTGTGTGTGTAGGTGGTTGTGGGTGTGTGTATGTCCAGTCCATGAGTTTAATGTGGGTCAGATGTCAGGAGGCAGAGTTCAGGAGTCTGACAGCTGTGGGGAATCCTTTCCCCCAGGACTGTACCACTAACTCAGACTGACTTCATACAAAGATCAGGATCTTTGTATGACTTTCAAACAAACAAACGTTCAACTTTATTCATTCAGTCAGTGTTTGTTGCGGCTCTGATTATAAAAACTGTTTCCGGTGTCCCCTTAAGTTGCTGTTGTTGTTTTTAAATTAAGACGTGTTTCTAATAAAGCGCTGTATAAAACTGATCCTCGACCCCGGTTATCAATCAGTGAGTCCGCCGTCACCGCCTCACTGCTGCTGCCCCCCTCCCTCCCCACCAACCTGTCGGGTGCAGCGCGCAGCACACCTAGACATCTCTCCGTCCACAGCGTGGCTCCCTCCCTCCCTCTCTGTCTCTCTCTCTCTCTCGCTTTCTCTCCCTCCACCTCCCACCCCGGGCAGCTCCAGCCTTCCTTCCCGCCTCATGATGAGCCGTTAGAGGCTATCACCACCAGCCTGATGTCGCGTCTCCTCGGCGGCGCAGCACTCCCGCACGCCGGGTCAGAGCCTCCTCCTTCTCCGCCTCCTCCTGCGCAACGGGAGCAGCAGCGGAGGTAACCGCGCCATCGACCAGGAGAAGCGGACAGGGAGCGACTGCGGCGGGGAGAGGGCAGGGAGGCGCTTCTCGTGCGTCGTCTACCCCCGGTTTGTGTTTCTGCTGTTTTTTTCTCGGAGATGATGTCGCCGGGCTCCCGGGGCCGCTGTCATATTTGATAGAGACAGAGGCCGACAAGAGGAGGAGGGGGGAGGAGGCAGCGGTGGTGGTGGTGGTGGGGTGGGGTCAGGGTTGCCCTGCCCTGCCCTGGCCGGACTAGCGCTCCACCAGCAGTATGAACCTCCACTCGGGCAGGGCGTCCGTGGCCATGCTGCGGATGATGGGTTGTGCTAACGGGCGCTCTGCTCGGCATCTCCTCCACAGTGACTGCGTGGTGGACGAGAAGACGGTGGTGCTGCAGAAAAAGGAGAATGAGGGATTTGGCTTCGTCCTGCGTGGGGCAAAAGGTAGGAGCATTTATCGACTTCGCTACTTTTTGTGATTGTTATTCGGATCTGTTCTCCCCAAACCGTCATCCTCCATAATAAGTATCAACACTAGAAGTCATCAGCACTGACATGCCTCATGAAACTATTCACCAATATGTGTCAATTTGCATTTAAATGTCAAGTTTAAGCCTTGTCTGTGTGACACTACAAAAACATGCAGATAAGTTCCACTAGAAATATACTTACAGAAACTTTAATGCACATAAGGAGTGATTGCACACCAGCAATCATTAGATTGCACATAAGCCTACATTTGAATGTCTTTTCATGCATGCTGCAGAGGTCTGTGAACATCTGTAACAACATCTGTAACAACATCAGGCTGAAGGCCTTTTTGAATCCTTTTTTTTGGTTAAGTAAGTCTGCGTGTAGCCGTCTTTGTTGTGTCCGCCGTCCTTCACCTCTTTCCCCCACACCAGGAGTTGTTGTGATAAGAGTGGCCTACCCGTGCAGTTTGCCGTTTCACCAGGCCGTAAGATTGACACTAAAAATAGCCAGTTTGAGCTGCTGCATCGGTTTCTATGACGATTCTCGCCATGTCATAATCCACGTTTGCATTCTACAACTGTGCGCCGCTGTTCCATTGGTCCACGCCATGGTTACTGTCGAGAGGTAAATTTAGTATGTTCATGTTTTTTTAAGGCACATACAGAGAGAGGGGGAGAAAGAGGCTGACATGAAGGGAGAGGAAAGAGGGATTTGGCTCGAAAAACAAGAGGAATGTTCGAGTCATCCTAACACACACTGCTATCACCCCAGGGGAACTGACCCAGCCGAGCTTATCCTGCGCTGCACGGGGTGAACAGGCATACACAAACTCACCAACATGCGCTGATGCTCGAGCTGTCACATAAGCTCACATCCTCTTTTGTGCTCTGCAGTTCAGCCTCTCTCTTCTCTCTCCCTTGCGCTCGCCGTCTCTCGTCCTCCTCTGTCACCGTGTCACACACAGACACACACCTAAAGAAACAGAGTCATCACAATCAAGCAAATCCCCTCATAAGTGCTGTGCAGGGCGAGTTATAGGAAACGTCACTTGTCACCGCTGCTTTCTCTCAGTCCAGTATTTTCTAACCTCCCTTCCCGCCACAGAGGCAGCGCGTGCTGCGGCTGCGTGTGATGAAAGTGATCGTAGAGAACAGGAGATGGTAAACTTTTCTTAAAACGAGGGATGCATTTCTTGCCACTTTATTCCTGAGAAGTCTTGCTCACACAGAGACTTGACATGAGCCAGACTATATTAATAGTAGTATACCTTGTGCTTTATGCTGCTTTCTTATCATAAGCCTGAGAGAATGACACAAAAGCTCCTTATTCATACTTTGTTCAGCCACTACTAACCATCTAGCTTCCTGACTCCTGCTTCCCTACCGGCAGGCTGACCGAGTCGCTATTGTGCTGGTCCTTGATGTCATTCACCTGCCTTTAAAGAACGTTTCTCGCCCCCCTCTGCTGCTATGGACTGCAGCCGGTGATAATAATCGAGGTCACAGCAGACCTCCAGGGCAGAGCAAGAACTGCTCCTGAGCCGTGCAGTGAGATGGAGAGTCGTTTTAAACTGTTGCAGCTGGTAAAAGTGGTTCACATGCTACTATGCTGAGCTCGAGCAGGCTGCAAAGCAGGACAAAGGCCTACATGCAAGTAGAGGTGGGAATCACCATACATCCCACGATACGATATTATCACGATACTTAACACACGATACGATATTATTGCAATTTTTAAAAATATTTTGCGATATTCAGATTCTGCACATAAAGGTAAACTTTATCAATATTCATTTTCTCTAATATCAAAGTCTCACACTCAGTCTTTCTCTCATTTCAGTTTGATTGTTGACAAACTGAACGGTTTGTATTACAGTCTAGTCCAACTTAACTGAATCAACCATCTGGTACAATTATAGCTATTCTGAACTATGCAGTTTATGAAAACTATGCAGCCCCTTCAGCAACTGAAGAATTTGAAAGTAAATTAAAACAAAATATAATTTTACATTAAATAAAAAAGTTTTAAACTTAATTAAAATAAAACATGTCTTAAATTAAAATAAGTAAACTGTCATGTTTATTGCTGCCAAAAACAAGTTAAACACATTTGGACAGTGAAGGAATGTCAGGATTCTTGCTCAGAAAAAGGATCAACATGCTCTGAAGTCAGAGCACAAAAACCTTTTTGTAACAAAATATCGATTTCTGCTGTCCCTGTATCCATACATTATTAGCAAACAAAATATCACCATACTACACAGTATCCATTTTTTTCCCCCACCCCACATGCAAGGCAGTTTTTCCTTCCCACTGTCGCCAGGTGCTAGCTCATAGGGGGGGTCATCTGATTGTTATTGTAGGGTCTCACAGTGTAAGCTGGGGGCAACTGTTGTTATGATTTGTCACTGTATAAATAAAGCTGAACTGAGTTAATTCTCTGGGTAAAAAAAAAGTCCATCAAACTGTCAGTTTTGCTGCTTCATGGTCTTAAAAGAATTTTAAATCCTTAGCTGACATATACGAACCCGTTTGTAATCTGGGTCCAGCTCATGGTAGCCAGGAAGTAACTTTAGGCACACGTGAACGTTGGGTGAAGCTTTTAATTCTGCCGTGGGAGCATTCATGCTTTAATGATACCAATTATTGCTAACCCGCTAGTCCAACCATGACAGTATTAACAGGGCAAATCAAACACTCTGTGTGGTTGTTCATCTGCTGCTGTGTATTTTGTAGCTTGCAGAACTGAATGTAACAAATATTTATCTGGTTCGTGATCAGCGTTAACCAGCTACACAAAAAACACTGTTTAAATGTTTTACAGATTTTTATACTACGCTGGGGTTAATCTGCCCGTGCACAGAGGTTAAAAAGGTTTCACGTCTTAGATTCATTGTGTCATTGTGTTAACATATACCTGTTTGTTTAGATCTTGTCCCTTTTTAAAACTGCTTTCTTGCATTGTGCATTATTTTACGGGACCACGCTCTTCTCTCTTTGATGTCCAGCGGATACGCCCATTGAGGAGTTTACTCCCACACCTGCCTTTCCAGCCCTGCAGTACCTGGAGTCTGTGGATGAGGGAGGAGTGGCGTGGCAAGCAGGACTTAGGACGGGGGACTTCCTCATCGAAGTAAGAGCTGCTGCAATTATTAAATCATTTTGCTGTTCCTGCGTATGCAATTCGGTGACCGAGCGTTGGTCAGACACATTAATGCAGCTGAAGTTTCTGGACGAGTTTTGCTTAGTAACACGGGTTGAAATGTTGGTTTTGTCGTGTGGTTTGTGGTGGATTTGACCTCAGTGCTCCTGGTTACTTGTCGTGTTGGCAGTGGGACATGCTACCCTTCTTATAAAAGGGTTTGCGTACACTCAGAGCTCGCTGTGTTTATGTGTGAATAAGCAAAGTGTGTACAGCATGTGCTGCATTCATCTTTTTGTCCCCTCATTTGACTGGGCTTACTCAGCATCTCTTCTGAATGAAAACTTGGCTTGATCGTGCAGACTTTTTCAATAAGACCTCACTCTGTTTGAAAGTGTTTGGGAGCCACTTTACTGTGAAATCATCAGTTTGCATGCAATTAGACCGACAGCTGACTGCTGCCACTTTTGATTGGGATGGTGACTTATGGAGTGAAACGTTTTGTCGTCTGGTGAGTGTAGACATTGTCATGGGATTAACAGAGCACTGAGTGAGTCTTGAGGCCTGTCCTTCCTGTTTAGTGCCACTGAGCCACGCCGGAACAGTTGACACGGGACTGATGCTAGCATGTGAATCCACAGCATGTTTGCTTTGTGCAATCCTTCATGAAATATAAAATATACAAACATTAACTGCATGTATCAGTTTAGAAGTGAGACCAGCACTGTTGCTTGAAGCAGCCAGCACAGACATTCAAGTGTTGGGTCTTGTTTTGTTGGGATTTGTTTGGAAACAATATTTTAAATTGTTACACTGTTGAAGTTTTTTCTCCCTTGTCTGTGGTGCAAGTCAGCAGCTGTACGATGCATCATTATATTCCTGCACTTGGGGTTGTAACAGATGCAGAAGGTCACTGAGAGTGTATTTGACCTGATTAAGAGCCTGGTGCATGATGTATAACATGAAACAGTATCTGTTTGTCCTCCATAAGGTGTGATATTACTGCGAGTTGTCAGAGCATTTTTCACCAACTTTAAAAACACCAGATTAGCTTTGATTAGGTCTATAGTGACCCTATCGAGTTGATATTTACACGTGTTGCTGACTGGATCGCCTGTCCCAGAACTGTATCAAGT